GAAGAAACTGGGGACACACACACACACACACACACACACACACACACACACACACACACACACACACACAACACACACAACACACAACATACACACACACACACAGCAGCTGACTTCCTGCATGCCGAGCATTTCACTCTCTAACTGGAGGAGAAATTAAACGTTAACGTATCGTAATACCCTTACAAAAGTTATAACTATAGTTTCCTTGCCAAAATGCCATAGTTATTGTTGCTGCCGTAGATCTGTAATAGATTTAATATGACATGCATATGCTTCAAACTTAGCTTTTTGCTAAATCAAAAAATGATACATGGAGAAAGAGATTTTTTTAAAAATGGTCCACGAAAGATGAAGGCTCCAGATAACTTGGGCTTCTAGAAAAAGCTGTTTTATACTACATGCCACTTGTGGGTGCTGCCATGCTTGGATCACATGACTAACCTTATGCAACTGACAGAGACAGCAATAATAATTTAGTTTATTTTATACACAAAAATGATTGAAATTGAATCCAAAAATGTCTGTAATAGATTTAATATGACATGCATATGCTTCAAACTTAGCTTTTTGCTAAATCAAAAAATGATACATGGAGAAAGAGAATTTTTTAAAAATGGTCCACGAAAGATGAAGGCTCCAGATAACTTGGGCTTCTAGAAAAAGCTGTTTTCTACTACATGCCACTTGTGGGTGCTGCCATGCTTGGATCACATGACTAACCTTATGCAACTGACAGAGACAGCAATAATAATTTAGTTTATTTTATACACAAAAATGATTGAAATTGAATCCAAAAATGTCTATTATATGCATGCGTGAAGTGTGAGCAAAGTGAACAAGTACTAAGCAACTGCAAAAACAAAAACTTAGCGAGTGCACTTTTTTTTGTGTGGAGGATTTTTAAATTACGTGGTTTTATGTGAGTAACTCTCGAACTCATAATATAACTCTCATAACTGTTTTATGGTGGGAAGTAAGTATGGTTACCATGGCAATATATTTTTGTAAGGTTAGACATGACAAGCGCATTACAATGCCCTGCAGATCTGGGGCACTTTGATATAAAAAGATTAAAATGATGTGTGTGATTTAAGCTATCATAACCGAGTGGCTTTCAGATTTCTAGATGTTCAATGATTGAATGAAACTTTTTGTACGTTTTGCCAATGAGAAGCTTAAAGAGATTGTTTATTCAAAAATGAAAATTCGTCCATCGTTTGCATTTACTTCCTCATGACATTCTTTCATCTGTGGAACATAAAAGAAGATATTTTGAGAAATGTTGCAGTGTTTTTTTTGTTTTTTTTTTGGTCTATCAATAGAAGTCAATGGTAACCAAAACTCTTTGCTTACCAACATTCTTCAGAATGTTGTATTTCGCAGAAGAAAGAACGTCAAGCAGGTTTGGAATTAGGATGAGGAAATTATGACATAATTGTTATGTTATATGGCACCCCTCTTTAAAATATAGTTCACACTTAACGCTCAATATAAGCCAACTCGAGACCAAAAGAGGTTTGCCGTGAAACTATGCCAGACGAGTTGTGTTTTACCCATGAGGTTGCTTGTCTGTGATGAAATTCAAGTCAGTATTTGTAAATGGCCCAATTTATTTTTTCTGCTCTTAAGATGCTACATTTGCAATGTCGGTGTAAAAATGAGTACAGCTGACACCTCAGGTGTCCATGTTGACAGATGGCATTTGTGGGGGCATAACTTTTGCCCTGCTGAATCCTGCCCCTCGACAGAACCTGCTCGCAGTAGGTCGACAGTAGTTGGCGAAGGGAGCCGGGAGCCCCTATAGTGTTCCTGGAGGAAGTCTGTTTCGTTCCTCACAAGCTCCTGTGGAGAATGAGTCAGTGTGTTGAGACAATTAGCCGTCCGCTTCTAATCCAAGACCTGTTTTCAGTTTTCTCTCTGGAAGGTTGACGAGGATTCGCGTAGATGTGCTGGTTTTAGATCAGCTCTTAGAAGCGGCTATGCTCTTGCAGGTCTTCTAAAGGGCACACATGTGAAGTGGGACATGTTTAGCATCTGCTTCTGTCAGGTCTCTCATGTGGTTAAACACGTGATTTTGTTTTGTAAGTGCTGTTTGGCTATGGTGCGGAGCCAGTTTGCTTCTAATAAGCACTTCAGGCCTTTTCCTGCAGGTTTTTACTACACGGAGTTAGGGCTGCACGATAAATCGAAATGGAATCGAGATCGCGATTCGACAGAAGCTGCTATTGTCATGCGTATCTTTCAGTGAAGCACGGTTCTGTGATCAGCAGTAAATCTCCATCCAAAGGCCAGAGGGCGCTCTCGCGCTGAAACTCCAAATACGCCTCGCAGAAGAAACCCAGAAAATGCCTATCGCTGCAGCTGAATAAACAGAATTGATTTAATAGAATTGACAAAAAGATTCAATTGCTTTCATAGATTCAACGTGAATAATAAACACACGACTACGGCAATATACGGTTTATCTGAGTTCTTATTATTGTTTTTTTTTTTTTTTTTTTGCATATCTTGTCAGTGAACTACGGCAGTGTGTAGTAAATTCTGCTCCATCTGAAAGCACGTGATGATGATTTCCTGCTGATTACAGAACCGGCTTTTTTAACAAAATGCGCATGACAATCGCATTCGTTTAATCGTGCAGCCCAACGTGGTTGTAAAGGTTGTACATTTATCACAACTTCAAGTTGGATTTATTTTCTTTGGCTTGTGTTTGCTATATGATGTAGCTAGCTCCTATCTGATGAAGTACAGTGGACACATTCTTTGCTTTATTCTTGTTTCCAGGAAGCGCACCATGTCGGCTATCTGTGGACCCACAGGCTGAAGAGGTCTGATCGTTCTGGAGAGCAGGGAAGCAAGAGATGGGGAACACGGCCACCAAGTTCCGCAAGGCACTGATCAGTGGAGATGAGGTTCTGGCCTATCAGTTGTACGAGGGTAACCCTCAGTTCAAAGAGTCTCTAGACCCCAACACCTCATATGGGGAACCGTACCAACACAACACCCCGCTCCATTATGCTGCCAGACATGCCATGACACGCATACTCCGGTAAGACACGGTTTATCCAGTAATATTTAGTATTTTGGCATTCTGCTTAGTTTTTACTTAAGCTATTACCGAGTTGCTTTCTGATTTCCAGATGTTTAATGATTGACTTCATGGTTTGGTTTCTTATTTTCATGTAAATTTTCATTCAAAAATGTAAATTCTGTCATTATGTGCTCACCCGCATGTTGTTCCAAAACTTTATTTCTTCTTTGGAACATAAAAGAAGATATTTTCAGTTTTTTATTTATCTGTAGCTGTGATTAATGTGCTAATATCACTGTTTTGTTGTCATATCTATTAATTTATTAAAATACATTAAAAATGCCATTTACGTACAATGGCTTGAATAAATCTTCTATGATGAGCTTATTTTCAATTTCTAAATTATAATTAATTTTGATGATTTTTGGGGGCATAGACTAAAAACCATATTATTAGGTAGTTTGGCATAGGCTTTTAATATAATTTCTTATAAAAATATTCTAACAAAACTGCTTATTAAAATGTTAATGTGCATTTAGGAAATGTTAAAAACATTTGTCCATCAAATCATGGGGTCCAACCAACATGAAAAAATGCAAAAGAAAACATTAAACAAGAAATGATACCATAAAGATGGCCTGAAGACCGTTATGACTCTGTCAGTGTCAATAAGTGTTTTAAAATATCTTATAAACCTTTTCCATGACAAGACAATGTTAGTTAAATGTGATCTGGAGCCACTACCTGAAGATGTAATGATATTTATGAATTGAGAATTCATTAGAATTCATCCTTTTTTCTAGGATAAATAATATATATATATTTAAAAAAAAAAATAATAATAATTACGACGCATGAAATAATTTTTCTACTTTTTTTTTCCCTAAATAATTTTTCTACTCATTACATTTTCTAGTCATTAAACTATAACCTTTTTTGGAAATTGTGTATATATATATTTTCAAAGCCATATGAAACCAACATGAATACAGAGAGAAGATTTTGAAGAATTTGGTTTTAAACAAAATTGTTCCATTTCCTTATTGCAGACACTCTTTATGTCATTGACCCGCAAAACATTTGAATCTGACACACTCATAGGTCTATCTGTCAGGCTCCAAGCAATATTTGATAAATGATACAAGATTTCCTTGGTTCTTAAAGGCTTCCAAACTGTTAGAAGTACTCAAATCATCACATTCTGCTGTTTTTCTTGCCCAGTGTGAAACTCTTTGGCCTAGAAAGTGTGGAATTTTAGAGGCCAATCTTTGAAAGTTATTTTAAGGCAAAACAGCTGTTTCAACTGCAAATATGTTGAAGATTCTGGGTCCGAATCAGCAGGCCAGTGTTGCTCAAAATTTATAGCTGTTGGAAGGAGACTCGTGTTAGTTTGCTTTTGGAAAGTTATATGTTCTATATGGGGGTGGTGTGGTGTAAAAAAATAATCATTGGCATATTGTCATTGTCAGAATTTTATTATCGATACATTCCTAAAATCTGGTTTCTTAAAGCAAAACCAATGACTGCAATTTTTTTTTACCGTTTCCTAATGTTTATTGAAAGTGCTTTTTACCTTTTATTTGTCCATGCCATCTTTTCTCAGGTCCTTCCTCTTCAGCAAGGATGGGAACCCCAACAAACGTAACATGCACAATGAGACCACATTGCATGTGTTGTGCATGGGGCCAAATATCTTGCTATCCGAAGGGGCGCTGCAGCCGCGACTAGCCCGTCCCTATGAAGATGAATGCAGACGGGCTGAGTGCCTCCAGATGATCCTAAAATGGACCGGCGCCAAACTGGACCGTGGTGAATATGAGAGTGCTGACGTCAGTGCCACCGATAACCAGAAAAACACACCACTACACTATGCCTCTGCCTCAGGGATGAAGACATGTGTGGAGGTACATATAGGACTATTATAAAACACACTTGAAGCCTTGTATCTGTCAAAACGTGCACAGACACAGTTTTTGTGTCCAAAATCATTCACTGATTCACTATTTCCATATAGTGAACACTAGATAGAGAATAGGGAACCGTTTTTGGACACGGCACCTGACTACACCAAAATAGGTGTAGCGCTAACAATCTTTCTGTAATGGCAGATCGTGGAGACATTTAATTGTTCATGTTCTAATATTGTCATATTGCACAACCATACCTCCAGTAATTTGACTACCTTTTTAACCACCTGGCTCGTAGGCACAAGGTGCTTTGAGTTTGAGACCCCTGATGTGGAACATTTAGAAATCTTGAATTGAGATGTTTGTTTTGACAGTAGAAATGATTAAACCGTCTATATATGCAGAAGCCGAAGATGGATTCTGAAAAGTGTTTATTGGGTAACACTTTATAGTAAGATTCAATAAGGTTAACATTAGTTCATACAGTATACATAAATGCATTGAACAACGTGTTTAAAAAAAAAATGTTTATAGTTAATGTTAAATAATGAATATACTATTGTTCATTGTTAGTTAATGTTCATAACGGATGGACTAATGTTAGCTAATTTATAAATCAAGTTAAAATGTATTGGGATATATACAAATAAATAAATAAAATAACAATTTAGATTAATAAATGCTCAAGTTTTTATTAATTGGTTCATATTGATTGTTGCAGTCACTGATGTTAACATATAGAACATTATTTTACACTGTTAAAGAATTGGATTCTCATGATAAATGTGACCAAAGTCTCAAAAAAAAAAAAAAATGAGTTGGATGTATGATGGAGTATTTTTGTGCCAAAGGTACTCCTTCAGGGTTCATTTCAGTTTTGGAACGTTTTTTTCAAGTATGGCCCTGTATGACGTCATAAAGGGTGGAATTCCTTGTATGGGCACTTCTTCTGGAAGAGCGTGTGCACATCAACCAGAGCAAGAGCAGCCCATCAATGTGCTTCATTCGGGTCATTGGGATCTGATTCTGGATTGAATATATATATCGGGATCAGATTTTTAGCCATAGATCATTTAAGTCAATCAAGTTTTTGTTCCTGTTTTATTTATGTTGATGTCACAGCTTGCAGACAATCGCTATGCAAAAGCTGCGCATTCTCGTGACCCTTTAGCTCCGCCCACAGCACGCCTTCAGGAGCTCAACTCTTTTTGGAGAGAAGCGGTACATAACATATAGAACATTATTTTACACTGTTAAAGAATTGGATTCTCATGATAAATGTGACCAAAGTCTCAAAAAAAAAAAAATGAGTTGGATGTATGATGGAGTATTTTTGTGCCAAAGGTACTCCTTCAGGGTTCATTTCAGTTTTGGAACGTTTTTTTCAAGTATGGCCCTGTATGATGTCATAAAGGGTGGAATTCCTTGTATGGGCACTTCTTCTGGAAGAGCGTGTGCACATCAACCAGAGCAAGAGCAGCCCATCAATGTGCTTCATTCGGGTCATTGGGATCTGATTCTGGATTGAATATATATATCGGGATCAGATTTTTAGCCATAGATCATTTAAGTCAATCAAGTTTTTGTTCCTGTTTTATTTATGTTGATGTCACAGCTTGCAGACAATCGCTATGCAAAAGCTGCGCATTCTCGTGACCCTTTAGCTCCGCCCACAGCACGCCTTCAGGAGCTCAACTGTTTTTGGAGAGAAGCGGTACAGCTGTATCTGTCTTTTATAAATCTGATAAAACTAAACACTCTTCGGAGATATGAAGGATGCAGTACTACTCTATAGGTACTCAAGGTTAACATGAGGTTGGGAGAAATTTTGTGTTATATCCGCTTTAAAATATAACTGATTCATGTTTTGAAACTTCCTGGAACGGATCTTCAATTCTTTACCTAATCTCAAACACACAAAAAAATTTGACTGGGCAATTTTTCTTCCACATATACATTTCACAAAAATTTGGCAAATTGATATTTATGTATAATGGAGTATGTTCCGAAAGATACTGTATGTAGTCATAGTTCAGTGAAACCTTATCTCAAAAGATTAAAGGTAGGGTAGAACATTTTCATTGGACAAACATTTTAGGGTCCTATGCCTTCCACAGACTATATAAATACGTATAAATAAATTTAGACCACTTAACTTAGTAATTGCTCTCGGGATGTGAAGAGACTTTCAACCAGCCTAACAAAAAATGTTTTTGAACCAAATCACCTACCCTGTCTTTAAGGTTTCCTCATGTCATTACCTCTTTCATTTAGTGATCTTTCCACTGTATGTTAACAGTATTACCCTCTTTTTGCAGTTTCTGTTGAAGCGTGGTGCAGACCTGTTTGCGGAGAATGAGATCAAGGAGACCCCATGTGACTGTGCAGAAAGGCAACACCATAAGGAGCTTGCGCTTAGTCTGGAGTCTCAGATGGTCTTCTCCACTGACCCCCATGCAGAGGATATCGAGGCAGAGTATGCAGCCTTAGACCGCAGGGAGGTGAGCTCTCCAAATAAACTCTGGAATTTCTTGTGACCTTAACATTGGCCTCAAGCCTTGGTGTCCAGATGTGACAGATTTTAAAGGGATAGTTCACCCAAAAATGAAAATTATGTCATTAATAACTAACCCTCATGTTGTTCCAAACCCGTAAGACCTCCGTTCATCTTCGGAACACAAATTAAGATATTTTTGATGCATTCTGACAGCTCTCTGACCCTTCCATAGACAGCAAGGGTCCTTACACGATCAACATCCAGAAACGTAGCAAGGAGATCGGTAAAATAATCCATGTGACATCAGGGGTTCAACCATAATTTTATGAAGCTACTAGAATATTTTTTGTGTGCAAAAAACAAAACAACTTTATTCAACAATTCGTCATTTTGGTAGCGCCATTTTGGAGAGTATCCACTGAACGCAAACAGCGTATGTTGTTCTGTGTCAGCCGCACCACACGGATACGTTGTTTTACATTCAAATCAAAGCACAAACAACGTAGGAATTGTATCCGCGTGCCGCAGCTGAGACAGAATAGCATACGCTGTTTTGCGTTCAGTAGATACTCTCCAAAATGACGCTAGGGTGACGCGGAGGAGACGAATTGTTGAATAAAGTATTTTTTTTTTTGCGCACAAAAAGTATTCTCGTAGCTTCGTAATATTACGGTTGAACCCCTGATGTCACATGGATTATTTTACCGATCTCCTTGCTACATTTCTGGATGTTGATTGTGTAAGGACCCTTGCTGTCTATGGGAGGATCAGAGAGCTGTCAGAATGCATCAAAAATATCTTAATTTGTGTTCCGAAGATGAACGGAGGTCTTACGGATTTGGAACGACATGAGGGTGAGTAATTAATGACAGAATTTTAATTTTTTGGATGAACTAACCCTTTAACCTGTATTTTGTAGACCAATAAAAATATAAAAGTTTGATGCAGATGACTGATTGCTGATTTAGTTATGGTTCGATGATTAACACGTAACTGTCTATGTTTCAGTTTTATGAAGGTTTGCGAGTGCAGGACCTCAGGAGACTGAAGGACATGTTGATAGTGGAGACGGCAGATATGTTGCAAGCTCCTCTCTTCACCGCAGAGGCTCTTCTTCGGGCTCATGGTATGATTGTGTCAAACACTCAAAGGTATATTCACTGCTGTTGGCTGGCCCAAATTGAATTATGGAAAAATGTGTTGAGAGTACTACACTCTCACTGGTGGCTGAAAACTGGGTATGGCTTGGTTTGCTTGTTCTGGTTTTGTTTGGTTTATTCTGCTTTGTTGTTCTATTTTTTTTTTTTTTGACAGCCAGTGATGATCATGCATTTGTATTTTATTGAAAAGAGCAGCTTTGACATTTTGGTAACACTTTAGAATAGGGAACACGCTAGTTTCTTATTACGCATATTACTAGCATATTGGCTGTTTATTAGTACTTAAAAAGCACATATTAATGCCAGTGGTGGACAGTAACGGAGTAGTTTTAATTCGTTACTGTACTTAAGTACATTTTTCAAGTATCTGTACTTTACTGGAGTCGTTTTATTTTGAGTAACTTTTACTTTTACTTCACTACATTCCAAAGCATAAGATCGTACTTTTTACTTCACTACATTTCATAAAACATATCGTTACTCCTTATAATATATCACGCGCTCCGACATGCAGAAGCGGTGTCTGATTCAAGAATGAACCGATTCTTTTCAATTAACCTTTTAAATCAGTTCACAAATCGCACCAAAAGATTCACTGACGAATTAGAATGATCCGATTGCAGCTGTTCTCGAGTCGAAAAACTCACTGATTCAAATGAACCGTTTAGTGCGAGTCTCCAGTGAACTGAATTCACAAGTAAGAACCAGGAGATCTTGTGAGCGCGCGCGCGTCTGATGCTGCTAAAAGTATGTTACTAATGTCGAATTTTAGGATTAATTATTTTAACTGAAAATCATATTTAGGTCAAAATTGTCAGTTTTTTGTGAACTAAATCTGCTGTAAAGGGTGATCTATTTAAGCCCACTGAAATGCTTGAATGCAGACATATCAACATCAGTGTCTCTATGTTTTAGGTAAAAAATCCAAAATAGCACAGATTAATAAAATAACTCAAGCACGTTCATATTCCCCACTGCCGTAACGTTAACAGTTTTATTAAAATGCTACGCATTTAGCTCTGTGACGTCTGTTTTTATATTGTTTATCAACAGTATACATTTTTATATTGTTTGGATTAACTAGCCGAGGAGACCGATTTGAATGTTTATTCATAATCATACTGAAAATAAGTAAATGTTGTTAGCTGATGCTAACGGTCTAGCTAACAAGCTTGCTGGTGCTAAGTTGAGGTCATTTTTAGATATAACGTTAAAGTCCAAATATTTTTATTCAACCAGCTAGATAGATTACATCTGAGGAAAAAAGAAAGGATGTGATGTTCAGAACATGGTAACTACAGTAATTATCAAAGTGGGAAGTGATGCCCTCTGGGGGCATTTGGCCAGGGGTGTTTTTACACCACAGACAAGGTTTGAGAAGAAAAAAATCATTATGAAAATATAATTATATTTTCCTTAAAATGTTCTTCCTAACTTCAGGCCTTATTCTCATGTCATATATAACTGTGATGTTCTGCAAAACAACAAGCTTTAAAACACTTTTTTCTTACTGGTGAAAATCAGATGGTCAAATCTGATTTCTCTCAGGTACTTCGCGGTGTAAGCTTCATAGTGAACATTACTACATCACTCTCGTCAACGTAGTCCATATCAACAACAAAAATATATCTTGACTCCATATAGTGGTTATTTTGGGAAATCCCAGGTATTTTGAGCAGTAGGATTATAAAAAAATATGTGCTAATATAAATTTAAATTAAGTAGCCTATATAAAATTGCGAAATAAATCTATCTATCAGTACTTTTTTACTTAAGTACATCAAAAAATCAAGTACTTTTGTACTTTCACTCGAGTAAAATTGAAAAAGGAGTACTTTTACTGGAGTAATATTTTATTATTTGTATCTGTACTTTTACTCAAGTACTTGATTTGTCTACTTCGTCCACCACTGATTAATGCCTTATTCTGCAAGACCATATTCTAGATCCCTTAACCCTACCCCATACCTAAACAACTACCTTACTATCAATTATCAGCAAATTAGGAGTTTGTTGATGGAAAACATAGTTAATAGTGAATATGCGTTCCCTTATCTGAAGTATTACAACATTTTTATATTAACTCCTTTTTCGGAGCCTCACACATGACATGTGGGGGGAAAAAACCCCTCAATATATTGTGTCACGATTTAACGAAAATTAAAACGAGGGACCAAACTAGTATATTGTGCCACGATTTAACTAACACGACAGAATGAAGTAATTAAACATGACCACAGATTCATTTGTGGGGAAAAAAACATTTATATTTTCAACTTTTCTCAATTTTCTTTTTTCTACACAAGAAAAGAAAGTCATTTGATGGATAAGCGACTTGAGCATAGGTAAATGATGACAGAGATTTCAGTTTAAAGCAAATGATCTTTGGAAGGTGCAAATTGATTGGACTGACTAACTTTCACTGTGTTTAAGACACTTTTTTTCTTTTTACCTAATATATTCAAGCATATTTTTCTTGTTTCATTCCAGATCCACTTGACTCAAAAACCTGATAAGGCATGTAATTTGGTTTGAACGGATACATTGCTTCGGACTATTATGGATATTATGCTTCCGACTATTATTTAGCAAACAAACATGCAAGGGACAGGAAATTTGTAGAACTTTGTTTGGAAATTCTGTGTAAATCTGTGGGCATATATTCTGTGTAGGCCTATTTACAAGGTTCAATCTGACGCAATCCTTCCAGGTCCTAACTCATGAAGAATATAGCTTTGTGTACATTTAAAACAGCCATAGGAAACATGTATGGTATTGCCCCTGGAGAAGTTAACTAACCTATAAGGTATTTTGCTGTACAGCAAATCTGAAAAGCATCCATGCTCACAAAGCAGACCTAAATATTTCCTTCCCCTTAATTTTACAAGAGCACTCATGTTTAGAGCTGCTAAACTCTCTGGCACCAGACTCATAATTGGATCAGTGCTTTCTTTAATAATCTCCAATTATGTGAGCAGGCTGTCTAGCAGGCCTTGTTCCAGATGACTAGAGCCCATGGGAGAAAAGGGCAGAGCTCTGATTCATGTGCGCTGCTATTATTGCCACAGCCTCTCTGGAGACCGCCAGCCGAGGCTCAAATATGCAGTTTCACCTTCTTTTAATCTTAAACCCGAATTCACACTCTTGACTCCTAAGACTATGATGGTATACACAGTAGAGTACAGACGATTGAGCTAGCGGGTGTAATGCATTTTGAGGATTTTCAGTTGGGAAAATCTTGCCTCTTTCTTTGGAAGCAAGTTTTATTTGGTTGTACAGTATGTATTTGTTGATGTGTTTTGCCTTGGACTGTGGAATGTGTTATCTTGCCTTCAACGTCTGGAATCTGTCTCCAGGATTTCCTCTGGGAAGTGGCATTTCTTATTTTTTCTTACCCCAGCACACTGCATTGATGTTGACTGATAAGTTCATTTGAAGGTATCAAAGTATATGTCCTTTTTATATGTCACCACCATCCCATGCCATAGCCTTGAACTAGAGGATGAGGAACTTTGGTTCTGTTTTTTTTTTGGGAAGTGAATGTCTTGAAATGCGTTTTAATGGTTACTCATTATTGCTAATAGCATACTTCAGTTCCTTTTTTCCCCTCCCATGTGGGAGTATACCAGCCATGACTGGCAGGTTTACTATGAAGACAGGCATACATGTCCTATGTGGAACTAACCTACGGAACATCTGGGTAGTTTTTCCACCCAGAAAGAACAGCCTTTTTGAAACACTTGAATCAGCTGTGAATTCCACTGAAAAAATGCATTTGATAGGTGAAAGAATGTGTATTTTTAGTATCTGTGTGACTCCTCATGTACTGTTTTTTTTTTTGTTTTTTTTTGGCCATGCATACTGACCCAAGTTTCCCTTTAAAATTTAGACTGGGACAGGGAGAAACTCCTGGAAGCTTGGATGTCTAATGCTGAAAACTGCTGTCAGCGCTCAGGTGTTCAGATGCCAACTCCTCCGCCCAGAGGCTACAACACCTGGGACACCCTGCCCTCACCCCGTACGCCTCGCACCACACGCTCATCTATCACCTCCCCGGACGAGATCAGCCTGACCCCTGCTGATGATGATCACTCCTTGGTGAGGGATCAGATTTGTTCCTCTATTAGTGGTTGGTAGCTCATTGTACGGCCTCTTCTGTGGAGGTGATGTACAATAGTTCGTTTTAATGTAATGAATTTTAATGCATAGGTAGATCAATTTTGGTGGTGTAGCCATGGGGTTAGATCTGGGTTACTGAAATGTTGTAGGTTCAAATCCCATAAATGGGATAAGAATACCAAACATGAATGTTTCTGTTCAAAATCTTGTTACACGGTGCATATCTATGAATCTATATTCACACCAAGGTTGAACTTTCACCTGCAGATAAACCTTAAAATATTTTTTTGCATATGAAAATGTTGCTCTATGAACATTCTTTCTCCATATCTTTATCAAATTTTCATGTTGTGATTAATTGCTGATGCTTTTATCGCGGTATACGGTATTATCACGATATTGAAATTTAGTTTAAAAAAGTGCTGTCATAATACAATATAACAGGTTTAATAACTTTTTTCTTATAACAAAAATAACTGAACATTTAAATGCAATAAAGCAATACAGAAAAATGTTTAAAGTTAAAAGTTTTACACAGATTAAAGTGCAAAAGAACTATAAAGACCAATAGGTATCACTTTACAATAAGACCGCATTAGTTAACCTTAGTTAATGCATTAACATTCACAATGAGCAATAGCTACATTTGCTACAGAAGTTATTAATCTTTGTTAAAAAATACAAGTCTTAGTTCAGGTTAGCTCATTAAATAACACCGTTGCAACTTTTGATTTTAACAACGTGTTATTAAATATTGCAATACCTAAGATTAATGAATGTTCAGAAGAATTTTTCATTGGCAGTTTGTTAACTAATGAAATGAACTAATGTTGACTAATGAAGCCCTAATGTAAAGTGTGACCGAACAATAAACAATCAAAACACTTTCAAACAATATCTAGGGCATGTTGTAGTCCAGATTAAAATGTAAATTAAAAAAAAAAAAAAAATAGCCTATTAAGTCTAAATATGTAAGTATTTGACGCTGTGATAAATAAATAGCCTATTAAGTCTAAATATGTAAGTATTTGACGCTGTGATGAACATCATAGCAAATACACAAATCTGAATGGCTGTTTAAATCATTTAAACACGATTCAGAAACAGAAAGTAGTGCAGCTGCTTTGTTTACAGGGTTTCCGGGGTAACGGCTGCATTTAAATGAATTATTATTATTATTATTTCTGCAGTTTAGCGCCATCTGCTGTCAGAGAGTGAAAGTGCACTTTCATCCAGAGCGTCTCTCACATGTCCCGTCCACCATGTGCTTCTGGTCCGCGCTTGTTTACATCAGAGTGCGCACGCGTCTTTCACACAGCATACAGGGTGTTGTGCATTTTGACCAGTTGATGGGAAAAGTATTCTTAAAATGCATTCAAAATTCGGAATAATTTGTAATATATAATTATTCACGGTATTTAGAAGTGCCCACGATAACAATATCGTGCATAATCATTACCGTGATGTATCGCATTACCGAATACCGGCACAAGTCTACACCATAGTCAAAAAGGCAACAATTCTATAATACAATTTTTTTTAACCCATTTTTGGCTGCTAAGTTCCAGTGATTAAATTCTACCATTCAAAAAAAAAAATGTATTGCCGAAATGTGAAATTAGAGTTTTGACCTTGCTTTTTCTGCATCCTGTGCTTCTGATAGCCGAATGACAGACGTTGGTTTATTGCATTTCATTTAGCATGCAAGTGCTTTTGGAGTGTAATCTAAAATGACAAATTAGTTAAAGGGGTCATGAACTGCCTTTTTTATTATTTTGTACTGTTCTCTGAGGTCCACTTACAACGCTATCAACATTTTTACATCAAAAAAACATCATAATTTAGAAGTAATAAGCTATTTTCTGTCCTGTTTTGACCCCCTCATCGGAACGCTCTGTAGTGCAATTTGTCATGAGATTAAACGGCCAGATGTCATTTTATCAAATGTTTATTATTCTGATCAATTTGATACTGCTTCGTGTTTAGAATGTAGTTTATATCTAGGTGTATAGCATTTAACATGATATTTTCTCACTAATGTTGTTTTGTTCTCCACTGTCAGTGCGGAATTTGTATGTGTGCGGCCTCCATGTTTGAGGAGCCTGTTGATATTCCATGTGGTCACGAGTTCTGCAGAGGATGCTGGGAAAGGTGAGGGCTTTTTCTTCAGAGGCTTTTAATTCAGTCACATTACATTATTTGTGATGGTATTATGGTATTTATGAATTACATTAATTCAGTCATGTGTACTTGCCCTTGGCAGTTTCCTGAATATGAAGATTCAGGAGGGGGAGGCCCATAACATCTTCTGCCCAGCCTATGACTGCTTCCAGCTGGTTCCTGTTGAGGTCATTGAGAGCATTGTGTCCAGAGAGATGGACAAACGTTATCTGCAGTTTGACATCAAGGTATAATTACATGATCAGATGCACATTAGTCTTAAATATGTGCATAGATACTGTTGTAATTTTTTTATTTAGTGATATGGAGAGTTAAACACAAAGATAGATTAAGCAATACAGCATTAGGCTCCAGTTTTGAGCCAATTTAAACCCTGTGATTCTGCCTTCATAGAGCTGCTGGTTTTCCAGTCAAAGAGATCAGTCCTCTCAGTGGAGTTTATGTGTTTGGTGTTATTGTGGAGTCAGTCCAGAACGGTGGAACACTGAAATGGGAGCTGAGAGTGTTGAAGTAACCGTAACAATGGCAGCTCTCATCTGAGAATGTCTGAGAATGACACTTCTCACGCTGTGGAGTCCCAAGACTTTCATTATGTTGCCATGGTGATGTTGAATCTTCCACAGGGGCGTCTGAGCTCTGTTGTAGCCATTTTCAGGGTCAGAGGGTACTAACAGACTTCTGGAGCTGTTGGTAAAAATTAACTCAGATCCCGGCATCATAAGACTCAGCAGATCAGATGAACCGGAAAGGACAACATATTTTTAGTTTAGTTTTGTTTAATCAGCAATCTCAAAACTTTAAATGACAGAAATCATTTTATTTAAAGGGGTAATATGATGTGATTTCAAGTTTTCCTTTCTCTTTGCAGTGTTACAAACTGTTCGTGAATAGATAAGATCCTTAAAGTTGCAAAGACTAAAGTCTCAAACCCAAAGAGATATTCTTTATAAAAGCTAAGACTGGTCCACACCCTCCTAAAATGCCTCGTTCAAACACGCCCCCACATGTCTATGTCACTGTGTGGGAAGATTTGCATAACGCTGCCCAAATGTTCACGCAAAGAATGAAGGCGTAACTTTATTGTTGCCGCCGCTGCCGCCATGTTGTGAAGACGCTGTGTGTTTCGTTGCGAAAGTGAAAATACTTTGTTTGGCCTTCCAAAAGAGGACACGACTAGAAATCAGTGGTTAAGTTGTATTTACAACACTGTTCCAGAACAGATCAACTCAAATATTAAGATGTGTGCAGCGCATTTTATGGAGGATTGTTTCCTGATCCTGGTGGAGTAGACTACAATGTCATCTGTTCTGACTCACAGTCTGTAAGTACGTTTTCATATTTAAAGGATTTGCCACTGATGATTCAAATGTGAGTTTTGAGCAGTGTAGAGTAGCACTTGTTGTTTGTCGTTTCTCCGATCACAAATGCAGACATAGTTTTATGTTTACGCGGCGCGATGCAACTCGTAAAAAGACAGTATAAGTCATTATAATCAGTAATTATGTCCCCACTGGATGCTACAAATGCCTCGTTTGTAATGGGTTTTAATGTATTTGTCTTGTCGTTCCGGGACACGACATCACAGTATGGAAAGGGGCGTAACATTTTTGTCACACGCTTGAGGTATTCGACCAATCACAATGCACTGGATAGCTGGCCAATCAGAGCACACCTCGCTTTTCAGACCGATGAGCTTTGTAAAAATCGACGCGTTTCAGAAAGGCTTTTTTTTTACCTTAAACCACAAACACTTTTCATTACACCAAATACACAAAATAATGTTCTTTTTAGCAGCATTATACGACCCCTTTCATTTAATAATGGTTCATATTTGAGGGATAATGTACAGCCAGAGGGTCATTTTATTGCAGAATAAAGAGTTATTTAGTAACCGGTCCTATTCTTACTATTAACTAGATTGCATATTGGCTGTTTATTAGTACTTATAAAGCACATTAATATTAATACCTTATTCTGCATGACCACATTTTAGACCCCTTAATCCTAACCCATACCTAAACTTAACAACTACCTTACTAACTATTAAAAAGCAGCAAATCAGTTGTTTGAGGCAAAAGTTGTAGTTATTATAGTTAATAGCAGTGTTGGGCAAGTTACTCTGAAAATGTTATCAAATTACTGATTACTCCTTTTAAAAGTAATCACGTTACTGTTCTGATTACTTTATTTCAGATGTAATTAGTAATTAGTTACATTTCTAGTTATGTTACTTTTTTCTCCATGAAATTTATGAAATCCCAGCATACACTCTCCCGATAAATACTTGTTTTTAAAGCATCAACATTCATAGAACACTGTTATTTTTAACTAAAGCAAGCGGCTGCTGAGTGCATGGTTTGGCATGGCAGAATGCCAGCAAAGAGTCTGCATTTATAATCTCTAAAAGACATTTCAGTTCATAGCAATCTCACAAATCTCTGTTATAACACAATAAATATATGCATAATGAATCTTTCATAATGTCTACAATTCGTGTGTTATAATGAGAGTATTCGTGAGCATGCACATTTCAGCACTGCATTGCTCAACGCTGCAAACACGTGTTATAGCCTAAATAGAAACTCTGCATACGCTTGCACCTGTTATTCGTTTATATTTTATATTAGTTCATGTTGCTTTTGTGCAATACATGAATAACAATTTATTTGTTTTAGATATTTCTATTTTGCAGGAGTCCCATGAATCATTTTATTCTCCCGCATCCCGCACACACACGAGTGTCTACCCACCCACACTCGCCCATCTTGTCCCGCTCTGTTGCGTCGGGTCTCGCGGGAGCAGGTCTCTAATCCACTGGCACTGGACTCAACAGTGTGTGTGCTACATCCTTTTTACAATCTCTAGATTATAAAACACTGCATTCTGTCAGCAATGTAACGCGGCAGTAACGTATAGAGACCTCGGCTTGTAGCTATACTATAATTACTATTTTGAAAATTATAACGCGTTAAATTACTCCGTTACTAAAAAAGTAATCAAATTACAGTAATGCGTTACTAAGTAATGCGTTACTGCCCAACACTGGTTAATAGTTATAATTGCATCTTAAAATAAAGTGTGACCAGTTACTTTGACAAACCTAGACTGTACATTATCGCACCTATTACATACATGAACTTACTAAATCAGTAAATATATGTGAAATTTTGATGCAAGTTAATATTGCTTTATTGTATTTATATTTATGATATTAAGCTTCTGTTATGTATAATAGTTCAATTTTCAGTATACGCACTACCATTCAGAATTTTGGTATCAATAAAATGTTTTTAATAAATTAATACTTTTATTCATTAATTCAGTTGATCAAAAGTGATTATAAAGATGTTGCAAATGATAATAATAATGATATATTTTATTTAAAACGCTTTATATTCAAGCAGAAATCCCAAAGTGCTACAGATTAAAACAATTATTACCATTTCAAATAAATGCTGTTATTTTGAACTTGAAAATGTATCAGGGTTTCCACAGAAATATTAAATAACACCACTGTTTTGAACATGATAATAATAATAAATATTTCTTGATAACCAATCAGCATATTAGAATGATTTCTGAAGGGTCATGTGACCCTTAAGACTGGATTAATGGGTGCTGAAAATCTATCTTTGCCATAACAAAAATAAATTGCATTTTAAAATATATTCTAAAAGAAAACAGTTACTTTAAATTGTAATAATTTCACACTGTTACCATTTTACTGTATTTTGGATGCAGCCAAAATATGCAGCCTTGGTGAGCAAAAGAGACATTTCAAAAACATTAAACAATCTTTTTGACCCCAAACTTTTGAATGATATAAGTTCATATTATATATATTATTAATGTTAATTTGCAGCTATTTAGCTTAGATATTTAGCTACAGTGCAACTCTATTTCTCTTACTGGTTTGTTGTTCTTATGACCAATGATTCTGTTTTCTTGCTTTAATTGGTGATATATTGAAATTAGTACTGAGGTCCAAGGCCATTTTTACTATAGTCAGAAACTATCAAGTAAAGAATTCACTAATCTATTATAACTTGTGTTGATAAGAAAAAAGAGGACATGAGATAAAAGTTGCATGTTGCCATCTAAAAATGTCAAATATACAGTATAGCAGTCATTATACATTAGAATCAGAGAATTGCAGAGAGCCACATATTAAATGAGTAAGGCAGTGTTTTGCATTTTAAATGCCTCCCTCGCTTGCTTTCTCTTCCATTCTCTGTCTCTATTTCTCTGTCCTCCTCTTTACACTTTTTCTTCTTCTCCCTCAGGCATTTGTGGAGAATAATCCTGCCATCCGGTGGTGCCCGCGGGCTGGCTGTGATAGAGCGGTGCGATTGGCCGGACAGGGGCAAGGTGCCAGCACCTCTGACCCGCTTAGTTTTCCTCGCCTCCAGGCCCCTGCGGTGGACTGTGGCAAGGGTCATCTTTTCTGCTGGTCAGTGCCAGTCACCGATACAAATCTTATAAGCCATTATACCAGAAGAGAGGATTTGTAATTCTGAACAAAATCTCCAGTTTACTACATGATTTAATGTGATTAATAGTAATAGCAACATATTAATAGTAGCCTATTTAAATAATATTAATAGTATTTCTAGACTCATATTCTGCACTTATTTTAGCAGTGCAAATCATGTTACAGAGACATTGTCAAAAAGATCGCCTGTGTTACATAAATGTATAGAAATGAAGGAAGAATGTGTGTTTGTATGTAGGTTCTGCTCACAGTGGTCACTGCTGATGCAGCTGGCTGAGTTTCTCTTTCCCACAGCTCTGGTCCTTATGTCCCCAACACACAAACACATAGACATATACACACACCCACACAGTGGGCTTGTATCTCATCACTGCCTGTGCCAAAATCTGAGCATTACATTTGAGTCAAAACACCCTCCCCTCTCTGTCTCATACACACATTTAATCTGCCTAAGTGAATATGGATTGAATCTAAAATGAAAGAAGCTGTTATTTAAAGGTGTCTGAGGTCAACAGTCTTCCAACATTGTGTTCTGTATCAGTGATTTTAACTGGTAGGTCACCGTTCTGTCCTAATTGGGTAGTCAACAGCAGGGAAAAAAATAATGATAAATGTTTAACTACAACATCTCAAACTCCTGTACCTGGAGGGTACAAGGAACGGATTAAAAAAATTGTTATTACACCATGTTAATATGTTAGCATAGGTTAATCTTTTACTCATGTTTGACACACATTTTTATCCCCAAAAGCCTGTCCACCACCAACAACTAAAATGTATAGAACATAAATAAAATATTCACTAGAAAAGGAATTTCCTTTATGCTAAGGCCTGTCGTCACACTGGGGTTTCTCCCCACAGGGAATGCCAAGGAGAAGCCCATGAACCATGTGACTGCCAAACTTGGAAGATGTGGCTCCAGAAAGTCAATGATATGAAACCAGAAGAACGTGAGCTTGCTTTGCTGTACTTTTCAGTAACTACTAAGATAAATATCCTGAAGTATTGTTCCTACCTGTCCAAAACCATTTTTGGACCTCAAGCAACTTTATTTCTGTCTTTTTCCATTACAGTGGCAGGTGTAAGTGATGCGTATGAAGATGCTGCCAACTGCCTGTGGTTACTCACCAACTCCAAACCCTGTGCCAACTGCAAATCTCCCATTCAGAAGAATGAGGGCTGTAACCACATGCAATGTGCCAAGGTTATTTGCGTAATAATAATAGATTTATGTATATACCAGGTTAAGTATGGAGCAGAGTCATGGAGGTTTTTAGAGGTGTAAAATGCAGGCTTGACAAGAGAGTTGGTGTGAACTTTGGAAGGGAACAAAAGGTCAAACATGATACCAAGGAATTTTGAAAGGGATTGACAAAAACTTCAAAATCAATGCACAAATCTGAGTTTCGGCCCTCTTACTTTTAAATCTCTTTTGTGTTAAGTTTAAGAAAATTCCCAGTGCCACTGGCCGAAATGAGTGGGAGGGTGTATATCAGAACAGGTGGTAGAATAAATCTCAGCAAAGCAGTGATAACTGAGACCATAATGGTTGGTGATATGATTTTGAAAAGGAGAGGGCCAAAAACAGAACCCTGGGGGACTCCCTGAGTAAAAGAGTTGTGTTTCTCAAAAGAGATGAAATATTATCTTCCAGTAAGAAGTAAACCAAGAGGGAATTGTGCCAATATGGCTGTGAGCCATGAAAAGAGTAAATCAAGACTGTCAAAAGTGGAACTTTTGATGAAAACCTGATTGGAAGGGTCAATGAGGATTATTAGAAAGCATTGAATTTAAGCTTTGCTGCTTGCTGTTATGGCTTTTTTTTTTTGTTATGACAGTCTTAATAAAATGTTATTGTTAAGATTAAGATTTGTTTCTAAAGTTCTGCCTCTGCAACAGTGGGCTGATGTTAAATCATTTAAATAAATAGTAGATGAGGAAATCTGGATAAATCTCTTTGATAAAAGAACAAAAAATGTGTGGGTGTGCCTTAGGAAAGAATGCATTACTGTTCATTCAATCTTGATAATCCTGCAACAAGGTTACTAAACAGGGAAAGACATTGCAAGTACTAGCACTCCAAAAATAAAAAGTGAGAGATGGTTTCCTAGCAACAAACACAATCTTTGCTGTCAGAATACCAAAACTCCCAGTGTGCTGCCTGCTAGACTGCTATATGCATTTGCTAGTGACATAATAAAAGAAGACTAATAGTTTGTTTTAGATTAGGTGTTGTTAATCAAGAGTGTATGTGTGTACAGTGCAAGTATGATTTCTGTTGGATCTGTATGGAAGAGTGGAAAAAACACAGTTCCTCTACAGGAGGTTACTACCGCTGCACACGCTATGAGGCCATTCAGCAGGTGGAGGAGCAGTCTAAAGAGATGACCGTTGAGGTACATATTCTTACATACATGCTCATGCTGTTTTGTCTGTTTATATATTTATTCAACACAATAAGAGTTATGGAGTTTTTAATAATGAAGAAAGAAAAATATCTCACAACTGATTATGGCTGTGCCTGGATGTTTACACACACTTATGTTTTTTTTGTTTGTTTTTTGCAGGCTGAGAAGAAACACAAGAACTTCCAGCAATTGGATCGCTTCATGCACTATTACACACGCTTTAAGAACCACGAGCACAGCTACCAGGTAAAAAAAAAAAAGTCTACAAAAATCTGCCTGATTTGACGCAGTCTCACATAGTCGTCGACTACAGTGAATGGCATGAAGTTTGGTTCACAATGCAGCTTAGTCTGACCAACAACCACCTTGACTGGAAGAGATCGTCTGAATGGCATTTAAAACGAACAACCACCGTTTTTGTTTTTACCTGCTGTTTATGCATCATATAGTCAGTGAACAGACATTTGGCAGTCTGTGGATTGACATTAGATGTGATATTAGATGTGAGGCAAATGGTCTTTATCTGTGTTATCTTTTCCCACAGCTGGAAGAACGTCTGCTTAAGACGGCCAAAGACAAGATGGAACAACTGAGCAAAGTTTTGAGTGGAAGTAAGATGCAAAACCACAGTTACATAATCAGTGTTAATGAATTATTTCTAAGCTGTGATAATGCATTGTCAACCTTTTTTCAGTCTGTAAAATTTACAGACTGGAAGCACTCTATAGAGAATAAAACTTGCTTTTATATTCACACAGTGATTCCTTCTACATTTAGCAGTAGATCAAGTTTAAGACTTTTTAAATTGGATATTAACTCCTTTATTGTATTACTGTGTTGTTGCAGGAGAAGGCGGCCCTCCAGATACTACTTTCATTGAAGATGCAGTGCATGAACTACTCAAGACTCGTCGTATTCTCAAGTGCTCTTACCCTTATGGGTTCTTTCTGGAGCCCAGAAGCACAAAAAAGGAAATATTTGAACTTATGCAGGTTAGTAACACAGATGCTAGTTATGGGATATGCTTACTATGTATGTTCTGAGTTAGTGACAGCTTAATACTCTTATTCCTCTTGTTAGACTGACTTGGAAATGGTGACTGAAGATCTTGCACAGAAAGTCAACCGGCCTTACCTCCGCACGCCTCGTCATAAGATAATCCGCGCTGCCTGCCTGGTGCAACAAAAGAGGCAGGAGTTTCTGGCCTCCGTGGCAAGAGGTGTGGCGCCCAATGATTCACCCGAAGCCCCTCGACGCAGGTAAAAGGCCTCTTCCTCAATTACAGGCTGCTTAAAAATAGACAAAAAACCTTGAAAATATATATTTAAAAATAGATTTTTTTTATAAACAATAATAAAGATGGCCATACTAAATATATATATTTTTTAAATGTAAGCTTTTGTTGAAAACAGTATAAAATAATATGAAACCAGTTTTAAACTATATTTTTAAAGGACTTAGAAAACGCATTTCTATGAATGTAAGGTTAATAGGGTCAATAGGGTTTTAATTTTAACTAGGGATGCACCGATACTGGTATCGGTATCGGGCCCGATACTAAGCTCCTGTACTTGTACTCGTACTCGTTAAAATGCCCCTATACCAAACGCCAATACCACACAGCATGTGATAAGTTCCATATTCAGACAAAGAAACGCAGACAACAGACAGCAGAATGGAGTTATTAGAGATTAAAGATGTCTACGAAGTATATGTATGCAATGAATATAATGTTAAACATTCAGTATTAACGCCTGTATAGCTGATGTGTGCGAGCTGATAAGCAAAGCACGCTGAGTGGATTGAGCGCGCGGCGGCGCAGATGCACGAGCTTGTCGAGTGAATATACCTTTCTCACAGACATCACTGGAAAGTTTGTAGTTCAGTCAAATATGTCAAAAACAAGTAAGTAAAACAATGCACAAGTTACTTAATGGTAGGGAGGGAGGGAGAGAGAGAGAGAAGGAGAGCGCACGCGCACTTCTGTTGTGTGATCTTTGATGTTCACTCACTTAGCACACGCATCGTTTGGATTAAAACTAAATCGTAAAAATAAGACCATTTATAGGGGCATTTACTATAAACATCATTTATTTTCAACCTTAGGCATGCACGACTTTCTGGCGAAAGTGAATCTAGCAGCCTGTGTGAAATGCGCTAGGCTATACTATTCTGCATCAGTACAAATACGTGCACTCGTTGCACGCGTTTTGCTTGCTTGAGTGTTTCTGCATTATAAGAGTGGCTTTGGAATATAAATCGCAGCACGTTTCAGATGAAAAAAATGCGACTTCTATTTCTGAAAATATCACAGTTAGGAGATGTATAACGAGTGATTCCCTGCATTATTACAGCAAAGCGCATGATTACAGTACTAAGCCGCTGCAATGGAGCAGCTCTAATGCTATTAAATTAAAGATGATGTACCATAGAGCAAAAGCTGGATGACAGCATGCCCAGGAGACTACAGGCTGTTATTAATGCTAAGGGTTGTTTGTCTAAGTATTGATAGTTGTGTAAATACTGTCATACTAACAGCTGTCTGAATAATTTTTGGTTGATTGTAATCCATTACGTACCTTTCTATCAAAGTTATCTAACCTTTTCAAGCTGAATTTGTTCTGACACCATTTAACTCGGAGTTCTTGTCATATTTTATTACCATTTTCTAAACTATAGGGAATAAACTGTGATAATGTGAGAAATGTTGAAGGTGTCTGAATAAATTTTGGTTCGACTGTATCTATTTGATAAATGAAGTTAACCAACTAACATTATACATACTCTTTTGGTTTCTGTTCCCAATATTTAAAAAATTGACACATGCAATAAAAATATCGGTACTCGGTATCGGCAAGTACCAAAAATAAAAGTATCGGTATCGGGCAAGTACTGGAAAAAGTGGTATTGGCATCCCTAATTTTAACAGTAGTAGTGTATTTCCTAAGAGTGACTTTTCATTTGTAACTCAACTGCACCTGCAGCCTCACAATGTATAAGATCACATGGAACCTACTTTTTTGTTTGCATTTACAGTTTTGCTGGTGGAACATGGGACTGGGAGTACTTGGGTTTCGCTTCTCCCGAGGTAACACTTTTGTTTGGTTTGTTTTGAGACTTTGGGAATAGTTTGTTAAAGAGTGTCTTTGTTAAATCTACTTAGCTGGTGTATGATGCCTGAAGTTTTGGCAGTGCATATTGGCCTTTCGAGCAAGATTTAGTCCTGTTTCAGCATTTGTGAATGTGTGAGACCTTTAATGTTAAACAGTGTACCGCTATTTTGTTCTAATCTAAAGATCCAGAGGAATCATGCCTTTCTCTGGGGAATTGATCCGAGAGAGCACTGTCAGTATACAGGAAGCCATCCGCAGGTATTAAAGAATCCTCATTAGATCCCATCTCAGGAACGGCTAAACAAACAGTGGAATGGCACCTGTCATGTACACTCCATCACTGTCATTGTCCACTTTTATTTGGGCGCATGTTTTATTTTTTTCTGTTCGTATTCTATTGCCGCTGTTCATATGTTTCAGATGATTGCTGTGCACTCCAGATTAAGAATTCTGATGCAGTTTTAACGTCATCTGGAGACCGAGATCTTTTCCGTTAGTGTATCCCGACATGGTCTTTTAAAAGATGCCTTTGGTGTTGTAACTTCAAAAGGCAGTTTCCTGCTTTTTGCTTTGACTGTTCCAAGAAAGGTCATGAAATATGCGTTTTTGTAGATGTTTCAAGGTGAACCAGGCCACCACTTCAGTCTGTATTGCTGGTCGCTGCTCTTCTTTTGAAATCATGTGTGCAGGCTATGGCACAGTTTCTTTTTGCTCTGGATTTATGGCTTGTAGAAAGAGGAATAATAGTGATGCACTTTATTCAACTTTTTTTTTATTGTTGATGCTTGAGCGGTACCTATCAGGAATGTTTTTCCTAAATGTACTTCTTTTTTTTTTTTTTAGTTTGCTGTCGTTACTGCATGCTTACTGCATGCAGCTTCAATTTGGTTTAGATTCAAGACTTTTATTTTTAATTTTTGGGAGTTTGTCGACCTATGGTGAAAATAAAGTTGGAAGAAGTGCAGTATAGATCAATTATGATTTGTGATTAAATCTTAAATAGATTATACTGACACACATACACCGAAATGCCATATCTTGTTGGTGGTGTAGTAAATTTCATTACAGAGTGTCAAACTATTTGGAAATGTACATGGTTTGTGGAGCTTAAAGGATTAGTTTTGCAAAAAATTTTAATTCTGAAATATTTTACTTACCCTCCCTCATGTAGTTTCATACACGTTGTCTCTTTATTTTCATGGAATATAAAATGAGAACCTTTAAATGATGCTGGTCACTTTTCCATGCAGTTAGTATGAATGAGATTGGAGCTTTAAAGATTTAAGGACATAACATGACTATATTATAGATTTTTGTGATTTTTTTTTATTTTTTATGCATTATTAAAAATGATCCTTTTTTGGGTTTTGAATGACAAGTTGAGTAATAATGCCATAATTTTAATTTTTGTTTTGAACTATTCCTTTAAAAGCCTTCTTGACTTTACTCAACGCGTCTGTCTGTTATTCTGACATGACGATGCCCTGAACTTTGATGCTGCCGCACAGCAGAGTTCCTGTAGAGAGGTGTAGGGTTCCTCTGAGAGTCTGACTTTTATTCACAGGGTCTAGTGGGAATGCTGGTACACCTCTTGAAGCAGCTTTGAAATGGTGTTGTGTGCGGTTTTGTGTTGTAGGCATATGCTGAGTTCCAGTACAGACGCAGACACAGGCAGCGCAGGAGAGGAGACATGGCCAGCCTCCGCAGCAACACACCCGAACCTGATGACCCAGCCCACAGCACTTTAGGTATGTTTTTCGTGAATGTGTTTTCAGTTTGGTGCCTGTATTTGCTGCCACATGTAAGCATTTTGTTGCTCCGTCGCTTAAGCAGCTGCAAGTGAAGTTTCGAGATTTTTTTGCTGTCCTCTGCATACTGAAGTCAGCAGAAAATACACTGTAAACCTATTTATCAATGCAATTTAGAACATTTAGAATGTGAACTTTAAATGTGATATTGAATAACACTGTAGTTAAAAATATAATCATGTACTTCACATGTGCTTTAGTATGTTAGTCACCATGCAACAAAAGATTATTAAAACGATTTCAAATATAAAACTTCAAGATTATTATTCAACATTAACATTATTACAAAGTGCATTTTTTAAAAAGTGGACTTAAGTGTGTTAAGAGAGTCATGAGAGTAAGCACATTTAAATGGCCTTTTGTTTCATTAATATTATATAAATGTATAATATATAATATAAAAGTTTGATTTCATTCTTCATAAAATGACGTACTGTAAACACTTTAGTTTGACTGAAATCTATTGTCTGATTTCTTTGAGGTCGGACTAATAGACCTAGATAATGCAGTTGTAGCTCGGGTTCATCCAACATGTATACACCATAATCAGACTACAATTAGCCTCATTCATGTGCACTTGCTCTGAAATACAGCTGTGACGCATAGTATTTAATCCTTTAAATATTTGATTGCATCATATATTTGCCATGTATATCTGGATAGACAGATGCAAGCTGGAGCTCTTTACAGTAAAGTCTAATTTGTTAACATTAATGTATTAACTAACATGAACTAACAATGAGCAATATATTTCTACAGCATTTATTAGGAATGTAACAATTCACTCAACTTAATACAATTCATGATACTGATTTCATGATATGATTTTCTCACCATTTAGTTTTTTTAACAAAATGAGATTTAACACAAATTATAAATTAAAAAGTGTAGGGATGCACCGATATGAAAATTTTGGCCGATACTGATAACCGATTATTCTTTATTTTTGAAAGCCGATAACCGATATGTTGGCCGATAAATCTATATCCAAATTGTTATATACTTTTTGAGAGCCTGATTACAAAAAAGGTCTCATCATTAAAAGCCACATCCCAAACACTTCAACATAAGCAGCCTAGTTTGAACGGTGTACGTTTTAAAAATATTTTTACTCTCCCATTACCAAATTTAGTCATAAAAAAGTCTTACAAATAAATAAAATAATGCATAAATAATGCAAACAAGTCACTGGACATCATTACACATGTAAAGAATCAAAATGAATGCGCCATAGATCAATAAAACGGAATAGCCTCTGCACGGACAATAATTAAATGATTTTAATTACTAAACCATATTGTTGATGAAAATAATAAGAGAACAATACAAGTGGTTGTTGTTATTAATAATGTATCAATGATTTTGAAAAAGTAACAAATTAATACCACTGTTTTAAATAGCAGCCGTTGAGCTGCGCGTGCTGAAGCTGAAGAGCTGAATGAACATGGTAAACTGAAGCGTTTTGCTGGCAGCTTATTTAACTCAAGGAAATGCATCCTGAGATTAATATTAATACAACATAAACATAATATTACAACTTATATATGTACAAAATGACGCAGTTATTGCATGCTATAGTCAGAATGTGTGATCCTGTTGTGGATGCGCTCTTCCCATATCAACGCGCTGAAACACGGCAACTAAACCCAAAGAATTCCCAACGTTTTATTATAATAATGTTCTCATTAGAATGTTATATACACGACATTCCCAATCATAGTTATTAATGTTGTGCACTGCTGTTTGAGCTGCGTGTGCTGAGCTAAAGATGATCACCGGTAAACTGAAGCGCTCTTTTAACTTAACCAAACGCATTCTATATGAGATAAATCAGATATACATCAAATAAACACAATATTACAATGTACAATTGCACAAAAGGCTGCAAACGAACAGCGCGCATCTGAAGTGTCTCTGAAGGAAATAATGCATTATTTATCGGCTTTAAGATATCGGCCAAATTTTCTTATCAGGCCGATACCGATAACAGAAAAAATGAGCCGATATGGGCCGATACCGATATGGTGGCCGATATATCGTGCATCCCTAAAAAAGTGTCCTCTTATTATTGCTTGGACAAAATGCTGCATATATAAACACTATAAATGCTGCACTTATAAACACTATAAATACTTCTTTAATATGCATTATACAGAGGCAAGATGAAAAGAAAATAGCATCTAAACTAGTGCTGGGCGGTATGGCCAAAAATTTATATCATGGTATTTTTCAAAATTATACCGGTTTCACGGTACATGACGGTATTTTTTTTTTCATGCATGACCGGGTGTTAACCATATTTTCTACTGATTGAGAGAGGAAATACTGCAGTATATTGACTTAGAATGCCCTATTTTACTGTCATGAGTGAATATTGTAAAAAAATACCACACTAAATAGTGACTAAACACGACCCCTTTTAATGTTACCCCTTTAATGACCCCTTTAACCAGGAGTCACTCTCATTTATAATCGTGGTATCGTCTGATAAAATCAACATGCATCTACACTAAAGAGCGGCTATGCGGTTGTTTTGGCTATATTACTTTTTTTGTCTCATGCAGCGCACTGCCTGCGCCTGAGTAACAAACTAAAAAAACCAACAAACAAAAAAGTGCATGTGATTTTAACAGACGAACTACGCTCATATTTATAATTCCAAACAATCAGTAAGCGACAGGTGCTAGGAAACGCTGTTTTGTACTCATTTATTGACGAGTCTGCTGCGGTGCGGCCAACTGAATGTGCTGCTTCTCTGCCGCTCACGGCACAGAACAGACGCCGAGAGAGGCGACACTTCTCCAGGAAAGTCAGACCTCGCGTTCGCGGGACAGCACTGGGCGAAATCTTCCAACCGAACCATAGCTAAGGTTTATCCCAAAAAGTCGCTAGGTTTGTCAGTATGAATATTCTATGGAAAAAAAAGCAGCTAAAAGGGTCTGAAAGTTGCTAAATCTAGTGCTAAAGTCGCGCTCGTGTGTGAGACGCGGGAGCTGATGGCAGGGGCGGTGGATATTTGTGGTGGTCAATGTGGATATTGTGGACCAGTTCTTCTGTGTCATCATCACGTTCTATTAATTCTACAGCTTCAGTTTCGGAACTTTCACAATTAGTAACACATACAGCTGTTCCCTCACCACAGTGCAACAGTGAAAAGGAACCCCTTTCAAACAGTGTCGCGTTCCGAACGTTGTTTAAGTGACATATGGTATTGCAGTATTTAAAAAAATTAATATCATAGCAAAAATAAACACAAATTCAGTATGAACCGGTATAGACAGTCAATTCCCTTCAGAGATGCGTTCATATCAACTCCTATCCCCCAATTGTATCGCGATTCATTTAACATCTCAATCTATTTGAATCGTCACATATCGGCTCGGGGTGCATTCTTACATCCCTAGCATTTATTAACCTTTGTTAATATTACTTAATAAAAATGTTCATATTCATGTTAGTTCCCATGCATTAAGTAATGTTAACAGATATAACTTTTGATTTGAAAATACATTAATAAATGCTGAGATGTAAAATTAATACATTCTGTTTAATGTTAGTTCATATTAACGGATGTATTTAACAAATGTTAACAAATGAAACCTTATTTTTAAGTACTACTGAGCTCGACTACACAAAAACCCATATAAAGATCCTCAAGGTCACACTACCAATTTATAATTTACGGCTGAAGGAAATACTCAGTGTGGTAACTGAGAAATCATGGGTTGCAGCACCATTGATATCAATGATTTTACAGCGAGTAGATGTCCTTAGAGATATTCCTTGCTATAAAAAAAGCAAAACTTTACTAGCAATACAACTAAACAAAACATTTTCCATTTGTCGCCTTTTACAGACACACAAGAAATTGGTGGTGGTCACAGACTGGGTCTGCTCATGGTGAGTTGAGACCCTTTTAACAGAGGTTATGTGGTGGAACGTCACAAATCCTCAGCTGAGAGTACAGAGTAACGTCTGATCTTTTACCTTTCAGCCTCACAGCTCCCTGGATGAGGATGATCCGAATATCCTGTTGGCCATCCAGCTGTCTCTGCAGGAGTCTGCACTGACTGCAGGCAGTGCTGGCGTTGATGCTCAAGAGATCCTCGCAAACGAAGCATCTCTGGGGGCTATCGGAACATCCCTGCCCACGCGTCTGGACCCGGTGCTGTGCGGGATAGACGTGCCCCGTGCTGCCCTGAGCAGCTCTGAGCTGTTAGAGGTGGGTGACAGCCTAAAGAAGCTCGGTAATATCAGTGGCCAGAATGTCCCTCTGCGTTTTGACAATCTCAACCATCCTTCCTGTGAGTCTGCTGATGGTCCCTTCCAAGCTCCTTCAGGACTTATGGAAACCTCTGATTTCAATTCAGACAACGCCAACCTTCTAGGCAACATCATGGCTTGGTTTCATGACATGAACCCGCAGAATATCAATTTGGTTCCTTCGGCTGGTGAATTCGGTGCTCAGTCGGCAAGGATGACATCAGAGCCGACTGAGTGTGCCGTTCCACAGTGGACAGCGGGGGGCGATAGAGAGGCAGAGCACGAGTTTGACTCCGGTATCGTCACAGGAGAGCGTGAGCCCATCAGGCCGACACAATTAGACCTGGTAGGCCTCGATATGTGTGCGGTACCTTCTGCTACGTCCATCGAGTTGGGCGAAACTCCGAGCGGTTTGAACCCGTGTCCCTCTGACACCCCAAAATGTGACTCAGACCCCGACCAGCCTAGCAGTAACTCCTCTGAATGGGAGGGTCAAGTACACCTTGTATGAAATACTGACTTCACCTACTAGCTAAGCCACTTTTTTGATGAAGTAGCTGCCTGATTGCGAACCCGAGGATCAAGATTAATCATGATGAGAAGCTTTGTATGGTCAGATATGTAGAAATCGAAACCATTTTTGAGTACCCGCTCAGTACTCGTGTGTTTCAGGCCTTTGTGCTCATGAGGCATGTGTTCTTTGCTCACTAAAAAACTCATTCCGGTCTTGGAGTGTTAAACGCTTTTAGAAGAGTCAGCAACTGAAACAGAAAGCGCTATGAAGACGGGACAAGAAGTGAGGTAGTCCGAAAAATCTACTGTATAGAACAGGATGATATTCAGTGCGAGTTCGCCTGATTAAAAAGGATGTAAAAGATACTGTAGGTGCCAAAAAACACTGGCTAGCACACGCCGAGCGGACGGTGTGCTGTTTGTGCCTGCTGCTGAGGGCCTAGCCTCCCTATTCAGTACACTATCCTTCCTTTAAAATAGACCTGTAGTATTAGAGAAGTACACAGCAGCATCACGCTCAGAAGAGCAGGGCTGATAATCACAGAAACTAAATGAACAGTAATTCTAGTTGCAGTTGACTTTTCGTAATCACTGTAATCCGTCACCGGTTAATTAGAATGGAAAGTACCAGCGAGGTTAAACTCGGTTCAGAGGTGCCACGCTGGATCTGGAAAACGTTTCGTCTTTGCAACTTCTCACAGTGCCTTTTCTGTGAAACTTCTCTTTATTTATAGCCGCTCTCTTTCGCTCGGAGCCCAGAGTGAGGGAATTTCCAAGACGCATCGTACGATTAAGCAAACTGAGGTCAATATTTTTTGAAAGACATTTTTATACATGTTCGTTTGTTCTTCAGCATGACTCTGGCCCCTTCTCCCAGGTTGTTTTTAAAGCAATTATCTAAAAAAAAAAAAATGAAAGAATTAATTAACTCTGACACATTTACGGATCAAATCCATCTATATTTAATGAGATACTATTCATTGTGTGTTAAGATGTGATTTCCACATGGCCACAATTGAAAAAAAAATCTAATTCTCAAATTTAAATGTCAGATAAAAATCCGTAGATGTTCTCCTGGTGCATCTCTGATAGAAATTTAAGTTTTTTTCCAAAAATCAAAATATCTAAGGTCTCATCTATTGAGCTTTTGGTAGAGGCAAAGGCATTACAGTTTGATGGCCAGAAGCTGTTTTAGCTTCATATTTACATTTCTATATATGATGGAACTCACCCACAATTACGTTTTTTTTTTTTTACAATTAATTTAACTGGTATTTCTCTACAATAAATTATGGAAATTAATTTTCTATTTATTTGACACTTACTTAAAAATGAAGATGAAGGTAAAGTTGGTGTTGACAAAAAAAACAAAACACGAATACCTATATATATATATATATATATATATATATATATATATATATTTGTGTATATATCAAACTGTAATAACACAGTGCCACTTTTCAATATTTGCTTATTACTTAAATGCGTCTGCTGAAATAATTGTTAAAAGCCATTCAAACAAATTAACAATGTTTTTGATTTGCTTCAGTTTTCATGTGAACACCTGCCCAACTTTTCATCTGATGAAACGGCTAAATCACACAAAGTTTTAAGCCCTTCATAAAATTTGCACAAAATTAGCTCACATTTCAGCTATGGAATAACCTACTTTAGCTCATAGGTTTCCAGTTATATTGGCGGTTTTAGCTGTGGGTTTGACTGAGCAGACCTCCTGATGTTTTACTGTGGGCTTGATGTCATATTATATGTTGATTCTGACCTAATGTTCGAATGCATAACTTTTCAAAGTGAAAATGAAGACAAACCTGTCCGTTAAGTTTTTTTTTTGGAATCATTCCATTCGTCAAAGTTTGAGGGAGTGCAGACATAAAAATTTTTTTTCTGTATGTACAGTTTGTATGTGGGATCGGAATGAGTTAAGCTCACTTAATCGCAGTATTTCTTCGGACTAATGTGTGTTGCCAAAGGTTGAGGTGAAGCTAATGTCTGTTCAAATGAAGCATATGGTAGATTTCAAACATCTGTCCAACCATGACAAAGAAAGTGAATGACAAAAGTTGTCCTGTATGTGACGGTATGCTGTGCATTAAGTAATTATAATAAAAATAGATAATGTTTTCTTGACAAAAGACCGTTGAAGTGTCGAGGCTATTGTTTGGGGGAGGTGGTGGCTATTGTTTGTTGGTTGGGGGGGGAAAGCACATTTTGTAACCCATTACAGATTTTTATATTGTTAAGCACCTAATCCTTGAAATGGTATTTGCACTTTCATAATCTTTACTTGATACATTCTCAATTTATATGGAAAATACAAATGTGTGATGTTTGGCCAATGAATTGGACTGATTTGAGTGTGAATCTCAATAAAGTTGCTAAGACAAGTGCAGTTGTAAAAGTGGTAGTATTCTTTGAACAAAACATACAGTGATAGCCCAGGTGCAAAAGCAACACAATAATAATAATTGTTTAATTATGTAATTAAGTGCTGTTTAATAAAAACTATTTTAAAGGCAAGTCGAGGCTACAAATAATATTTTTCTTATTCTTCTTCAAGTGGAAATTTATTACAGTGTTATCTTGAGCATTTGCCCCTCTAGTGGTTACAAATAGAATGACACTTTTAGGCAAAAAAATGTTTAATACCTGTTTTCTTTGATTGTAACTTTTCATAAAGTGAACCTTGTAAAACAGTTTTATATAAAGAAATTTGATATTATATTATTAACATAATATTTGGAGTTCTTGTCAGTTTATGTATTATTTATCAGGCACATACAGAATGATAGTGGCCAGAAAAAAAAAGAAGAATAAATTATGTTTCTATTTATTGATTTGGTTAGATGCCTAGGAGAAGTTGGGGGAATACCAGGAGGTCACAAGCACAGTGACTTTATTGAATAAAATGTCAGATGGGAGGAAGTTTCTATATTTGAAAACTGCTATTTGAATTCGGGCCAGTTTTTTTGAGAGCGGCTGTGTCATCTTGTGATCTGAATGTCCGGTTTAGGACCAACAAGAATTTATTTTCCATTACGTACGGGCAATACTACAGTATCTCAAAAACATTTGGATCTGTAAGCCACATTTAAACATGCATTGAAAGACTTCTTAAGATATTTTAGATCACACAAGAATAAACCATGCATTTTTTAAATTTTTTTTTATTATTATTTTTTTAATGAAAACAAGCTAGTTTTAAATTAGGATACAAAACAATATTTGGACACTTTTTAGTCCCATATTTAATGTGACGATCTACTGTTAGCAAATGATCAACAGTTAAACCTGACAACAACTTGAGTAATAAAAAGTAATAAAATCAGAAAAAGTTAAATTAGTTCTGAGAATAGGTCTAGTGTATATTGTATGCAATGCAATGATATTTTGACATTATTAGATTAACATCAAAAATCTTATTTGTTCTTTATTGGTCAAATTTCTAGAAAAATTGAAGAGCTGCAAAAATAATAATAATGTTAGACTTTTTGTTGTCATTTTGTTTTAGACTATAATTTTGAAACTTTGACGATAAACTAGTTTGCTTACACTATGCTTTATCAAATATGTGATCAACTCAAATTGATATATGATCTAAACTCCCATTGCTAGAATGTGGTCCTCAAGATATTTCAAATGAATTCCTAATTCATTTACATTTTTACAATTAATGCTTAGTAGATGCTTTATTATAACATTTACTTTTGAATATATTACAAATTATTCATAAAATTAGGGGGGAAAAGTGCTTTTATTGTGTAAGTAACAATGTGAAAGTGGCAAAAAACCAGTACTGATAGCATAGCAGCAGTGGATGAAAGTACTTTCAAGCACTTTAATATACCAGCGGTCATGCACCAGCGGTCCAGTAGAGAGTAGTAAGTTCCCAGAGAATGAGGGAAGGTTTCGCCTCTTTTCTTTGAATTGCTCTGGCACGAGGGCGTCTGTGTTACTGGCAAGCATTGTTGGTGCTCTCCGTCCCAGACTCATGGAAGCAATTCAAGGCATCGTTTACAGGAGGAGGAGGAGCTCAAAAGTTCCTCAAGAGGCCATTAAAACATGTCAGCAGAACATCCTGTATTTGATTCCCACAGTCAAAACGAATTCAAGGTAAATCATGTAGTTTTGAAAGGCACATGAAATTGCTGCTATTGTATTTCTGTATTTATGGAGATGCATCCCTCATGTTTGCATGGTGCTATTTATAGCTATGTGTGATTACAAAATAGTTTGACCGTCGTTTGTTTTGTTCTCTGGTGTAGCACAAAGACACTGGCGCATTTGGATGTTTTACTGGCTCAGCTGGAATTGATTCAAAGGATGGGTTTCGCTCACTTATGGAATTCTGGAAACAATCATTTTCCCATGAAAGTCTCTTTAATTCTAGAGCTGGGCTGAACCGTTGTCATTCGTGCAACACTCATCCATCGAGTTTTTCATTACATGGTTTGCATTTGGAATCATTTATTTGTTTACTTTCTAGTATTATTTCATTTTGAGACTCTATGATTCAAGAACATCTTTAAACTTAATAGAGTCGTTTGTTTTGTTCTCTGGTGTAGCACAAAGACACTGGCGCATTTGGATGTTTACTGGCTCAGCTGGAATTGATTCAAAGGATGGGTTTCGCTCACTTATGGAATTCTGGAAACAATCATTTTCCCATGAAAGTCTCTTTAATTCTAGAGCTGGGCTGAACCGTTGTCATTCGTGCAACACTCATCCATCGAGTTTTTCATTACATGGTTTGCATTTGGAATCATTTATTTGTTTACTTTCTAGTATTATTTCATTTTGAGACTCTATGATTCAAGAACATCTTTAAACTTAATAGAGCCGCATTGAACTGAGAAATATAGTGCTTGACCCTTACTAAGTGATCCATTCGTAATCGAGAATAAAGGTTTCCAGACCGTCTGAATGGTCACTGTAATATGAGAGATATTTGACATTTGGTCATTACACAACAGAACAGCCGCCAGATAAATGAATAAAGGATGAATAAGAATGAGTAATTGTCTGAGCGAATTAAGGAAAAATCCAAAGAGCTTATCTGGTTCATGATTACACTGCCTTTGAGACTAACATTTAGTAAATATCCCAACAGGATAGATACTTTTGACAGATGATCTGAAAAAAGTTGTTGGCAAATTTAGTATTCCATTAAGCCTCAATTACAATGTATTTATTTATTTGTTGTTTGTTTGATTGTGTTTGTTGTTTTCTGGTTTGTTGTTGGTTGTAGATTACTTACAAATTATAATCCATTACTTAACTCCAAATTACATGACAAAAATTGTACTTGGTAACGAATCGATTACATTACACATTTTAGGTAATATAATCAGACTACTTTTAGATTATCTTTAGATTACTTTCGAACCTTGAATATGCAAATCTGTTATTTAATTATTACCGATTACCTTAAAATCTCAGGGGTTACTTCAAGTAAATTTATTCGGTGAAAGCTGTTTGACTGACAAAAAAAAGAAAAAATGTTTGGGAATCCCTGCGTGCAGTTTAGTCACTGTAAAAAATGACTGTGAAAAGACAAAAAATGCTACAGTAAAAACCTGTTAAATGGTTAACGATAAATTCCCCTACTGTATACGGTGAAAAACTGTATTGGACATTAATTTTACGGTAGTTTACAGTTTTTGGAAGTGGAAAAAGACCGTATAATTTACAGTGAATAACTGTAAATTGAAATTCCCAGAATTCGCTGACAAAAAAAAGAAAAAATGTTTGGGAATCCCTGCGTGCAGTTTAGTCACTGTAAAAAATCACTGTGAATTTAACGGTAAAAGACAAAAAATGCTACAGTAAAAACCTGTTAAATGGTTAACGATAAATTCCCCTACTGTATACGGTGAAAAACTGTATTGGACATTAATTTTACGGTAGTTTACAGTTTTTGGAAGTGGAAAAAGACCGTATAATTTACAGTGAATAACTGTAAATTGAAATTCCCAGAATTCCCTGCGTTAAATTTCAAATTTGATGTTTTTTGTTGTTGAAATAACCGTTTGTTCTTAGTTTTATCTTATCAGTTTTGTATATTAGGGTTGTGTGTTACACCTAATGTTGTTAAATTAATGTTTATTGCATTATTTCAGTTTCATGTGTGTTACCATGATGGTGTTTAGTGTTTGTGTGAATGACACCTTCTATATATGTTATTATTTAAAAGTTGCTTGTGATGGGATTTGGTTCATCATGTGACTTTCTCATCACCACCTGCATTTGGTGCTTATCAGTGTATTACAAAGATACAAGTACTTCAATAGGTTGGTATATTAA